TATCCAAGGCTGATGTATAGATGGAAGACAGACAGACAGACAGACAGTAGATGGATGGTATGTAAGGTTGGGAGGTTAGTAGATGGGTGGACCTCCTGTCCCCGTCCGGGCGTGTCAGAGGTCGATCTTTGTTCCTTTGTTCTGACGATTTTTGTCCAGGTGTATTTTAAAGCTCAACAGTTTTGACATTTACGGCTTGGGCGGGTAGGCGGTTCCATGGGTTTATAACCCTGTAGGTGAAAAAGCATCTCTTGTTTTCAGTCCTACATTGTGGCTTGTTGAGCTTGAAACCATCGCTTTTTGTGAACCTGGTGAACATCTGTTGAACCTTTGACAAGCCTCCGGCTTCCTGTCCTCATCGAGGCCAGTAGAGTTAGAGACCCTCAGGTAAATCTGCTTCTTGTGTTACAAGTGCTTCTACACAAACGTCAGAAGCCTGGTGGTATATGTGATGTGTGCATGCCCTGAGGGCCAGAATCCCGACGTCTGTGAAATATGAGTTCTTACATACAGTCTTGTACAGCCAGTATGTTCTTACACACAGTCTTGTACAGCCACTATGTTCTTACACACAGTCTTGTACAGCCACTATGTTCTTACACACAGTCTTGTACAGCCAGTATGTTCTTACACACAGTCTTGTACAGCCAGTATGTTCTTACATACATTCTTATACAGCCAGTATGTTCTTACACACAGTCTTGTACAGCCAGTATGTTCTTACACACAGTCTTGTACAGCCAGTATGTTCTTACACACAGTCTTGTACAGCCAGTATGTTCTTACATACATTCTTATACAGCCAGTATGTTCTTACACACAGTCTTGTACAGCCAGTATGTTCTTACACACAGTCTTGTACAGCCAGTATGTTCTTACACACAGTCTTGTACAGCCAGTATGTTCTTACACACAGTCTTGTACAGCCAGTTTGTTCTTACACACAGTCTTGTACAGCCAGTATGTTCTTACATACAGTCTTGTACAGCCAGTATGTTCTTACACACAGTCTTGTACAGCCACTATGTTCTTACACACAGTCTTGTACAGCCACTATGTTCTTACATACAGTCTTGTACAGCCACTATGTTCTTACATACATTCTTGTACAGCCAGTATGTTCTTACACACAGTCTTGTACAGCCAGTATGTTCTTACATACAGTCTTGTACAGCCACTATGTTCTTACACACAGTCTTGTACAGCCACTATGTTCTTACATACAGTCTTGTACAGCCATTAGCACGCATAGCGTTGCGGGCAAGGACGAGATGAGATGAAGGTTGAGGACGAGGGGACATTATTGAAGGGGAATTCCACCTCCCAGAATACCCCCAACATACAGAAAAAGACACACAACAACAGCAGGTGATGTACTGCTTTATATGTGAAAGAAGACCTGAATGCAACCACCGAGGCCGGGAGGGAAGGGAGCCGGTCGGCCGAGCGGACAGCACGCTGGTCTTATGATCCTGTGGTCCTGGGTTCGATCCCAGGCGCCGGCGAGAAACAATGGGCAGAGTTTCTTTCACCCTATGCCCCTGTTACCTAGCAGTAAAATAGGTACCTGGGTGTTAGTCAGCTGTCACGGGCTGCTTCCTGGTGGTGAAGGCCTTGTCGAGGACCGGGCCGCGGGGACACTAAAAAGCCCCGAAATCATCTCAAGATAACCTCAAGAAGATCTTAAGATAACCGATGAGGAAGTAAACACCATGGGAGCCTCAGAGTGTGTATGGTGCAGTATACTAGCTCAAGATGGTGACATACTGACAGTGGGAGTGTGTTACAGGGTTGACACAGCAACAGCGGAGGAGGAGGATACAGATCTGTATAATGTGATCAGTGCGGCCTCGGAAACACAAACTCTTATAATGAGAGATTTGATGTTTTCTAATCCTTCTAGTGTGAACACTGATGTAAGGTATTTATTCAGAGTGTTTACGGTCCATTTAACGTCTATTATAACTTGGTTGGCCTCATATTTTAAGGGTCCTCCAAGTTCTTTGTTTTGGTTTGACTTCTTATATATGCATAGAAGGACTATGCCCTTATGTTTTGGGCAAGTTTTCTTTCATAGTTTCTATTTGCTGATCTGACTTCCTGGGGTGGCTGAACTGACTTCCTGGGGTGGCTGAACTGACTTCCTGGGGTGGCTGAACTGACTTCCTGGGGTGGCTGATCTGACTTCCTGGGGTGGCTGAACTGAATGCCCTCTTATATATTTCATAATCAGTGATGTTCATCGTGGATATATGCCTTCTCCAGAGGTTCCACTTAGTTAACAAATCCACAAGGGCCGTGACGAGGGTTCGAACCACGTCCGAGAGGATCCCAGACGCTGCCTTAATCGACTGAGCTACGACATGGTTGTTCATTTGATGCATCACGCTATTGTGATTTGTGTGTTCCACTTAGTTATCAAAGCTCTTTTTACTAATGGCGTCATCCATGTATAGTTCCCTTAGTGATGACCCGTTTGAAATTTTCCCATGATGCTCCCATGGTATAGTTAGCTATTACCTCCCTCCAGGAGGTGTTTCGGTTACTCTCATTCCCTGATAGTCTCCTACCGTTCACTTGGGCTGGACGGTAGAGCGACGGTCTCGCTTCATGCAGGTCGGCGTTCAATCTCCGACTGTCCAAGTGGTTGGGCACCATTCCTTTCCCTCCTCGTTCCATCCCAAATCCTTATCCTGACCCCTTCCCAGTGCTATATAGTCGTAATGGCTTGGCGCCCCCCCCCTGATAGTTCCCTTCCCTCCTAGAGACCTTCCAAATGCCATTCAACCCCTCAAACCAAATCTATTTGCTTATAATACAAATTTAATTTTTTCAGATCCCAACCCTCTTATTCTAAATGGCACAGTGAATACTGAACTAGAAAAAAGTCTATTTGTGGTTGACTGCTTACAAACTCGCCCTTAAAATTGATAAAACTTTTAATATATTTTTGGTAACAAGTCCACAAATCAAATTAACCTAAGAAATAACAATACCCAAAGTATGAACAAAGTAGATGGGAAGTTCTTTCATGTTCAAATTAACAGTAAGATGAATTTCCAATGTCATGTACTAAATATTGCAAAAAAGTATCTAAAGCAGTAGGTATTATCTCTGAAATCAGCTACTTCGTCGCTCACTTTGCCCTGGTAACACATTATTATTCGCTTGTGTATCAATATCTCACCTACGGTAACTGTGCCTTGGGTTCTATTACACAAAATTATCTTTGACTTTAACACAAAGCTACAATTAAAACAATAACAAACTCCAGCCCCAGACAGCACCCTGCTCCCTTACTGAAATTTGTTAACATGTTAAATATCAAGTCACCACATTCTCCATAGTAATGACATTCTGAACTGCACTTGCTAGATGGCTGTAGCAGAACTCATTAGGCACTACAAGATAAACATCTTTTTGGTACTCTAAAAGTGCGACTGAACCAAAGCAGAAATGCTCTGTAAATCAGTGGTCCTAAACTGTGTAATAATCTTCCTGATGACATTAAAATAAAGACTGTTATCCTCTCAACCAGTTTGAAAGAGTAACTAACTTACGGGCTATTCATGCCCGTGCCACCTTTTGGGTGGTTTAATCTTTATCAATCAGAAACTAACAACTACCTAATTATCTTTCCCTTCAGTGAATGGTGCCTTGGCTCGGTGCGGGGACTCTTCCGTCCTGTTTGTAGGAAGGAGCGGGTAGCTGCTGCTTCCCTGCCTGCCTCTTGCGTCCGAGCACAAGCCCCATATGTTAGCCGTGCATGGCTTGTGTTCCTTCGTCTGGGAGTTGAACCTACCCAACGGCTCAACATCGGGTCAAAATGCATTGTGGGGATGGTATCCCTATCGGCCTCTCAACTGAATTCAGGTAAATACAATGGTTGTTCACATATACTGTTCCAGTTACTCCTTGGGTTGATTGACTATGTGCTAGTGCCTTCCGCGTGTACTCTGTGATAGGCGGGGGCGCTGGGCTGCGAAGTTTTCCAAGATTACTTTTATGTATATTTGTAACTTTCTCTTTCTCAGACCCGTGGGTTGGGCGACTAGGTCCCCCGAGTCAGACCGTGTTGGAAAATCTGGCTCCATTGTTCCGACTGTGGTGGGGCCAGACCAGGTTTTGTCTCGGACTATCCCAACTGACCCTCTCTGTCCCGCTCCCATTTCTTTGGTGGGGTTGAGCTCCAAGCCTCCGGTGGTGACTGCCTCGTCACCTGGTGTGTGGCTCTGTCTTCCATTGTGATGGCTGCGCCGTTTACGTCCTTCCTTCATGGGACTCCTCGCCGCTCGAACACATTATTCCTTAAAACTCTATTATGTTCCAGGATATTTTTGTCCTTGCTTCGTGGTCTTAAGTATTTTTATCTTTGTCACGACGAACAAACGCGACCTGATGACTTAGACATCCATAAGCACATAATTACCTCTGTAAATACCTACGTTGCTTTTAACTCCACCCAAACTGGCACACATGTAGTTGCGGCTCCTACACTCCAGAGACCCTCGTGACTACTTGCATTGTCCAACCCGTCCTCGACTCAAGTCCATTACATTCAGCGGTCAACTCCACAGACGCATTCATAAATTTTAACATGCTGTTCATTCAAAACGGGAATTTTCTCAAGTATAAATTAATATTATAATATATTAGCATATTGTGTATAAATAGGCATAGGTTAGGTTAGGTTAGGTGTTTAGGATCTGTTGGCGATTATTTGTATTTGTAGTACGTGGGTGAAGCATTTATAGCGTTGTGGTTCGAACAAAATTCGTCAGTGAAGCACTTGTTCCGGATATGTTCGAATGTCAGCAGTTGTGAGTCGTGTGTAAACCGCTTTTCATTCATAAACAGGGGGTTTGGCGGGTGCATGGAATCACTTTTGGATCTTTGTTTGGAGGACGGGCTGGCATTGTCCCGCATTCCTCAGACCCCGGTTCGAAGCCTGCGGATCAGGTGAGTACACATAGATTCAAGGAATATCGAAAGCCGTTGTGATTATTATTTTCATTTATTGTCTCGATACAGCGAACATGTGTGTGTCAATACAGTGTACATATGTCTCAATACAACGAACATGTCTCGATACAGCGAACGGTGATCACATCGTCTCTGTTTCTCTTGCCGGTAATTGCCCTGAGGATCGTGGTTGACATAAAACTTAACATAAAAAATAACTTATCAATAAATTATTAAATAATTATAAATTAAATAACATGATTATGTCCACATTCACGGATTCACACGCTTGACTCTCAAAACGCATTTGATAGTCTTAAAAAGTAAATAGGTTCTGTACAGTGCTATACATGTCACTTGTTGCCCGCTTAATTTACACTTTTATACAATGAATAAAAACGGCTCCTGTATTACAGAGGCCAACGGTCATGTAAAGCCGTACTTTGGGGCAGCCTGCGCGGGCCTCGCCTGCTCTCTCTCGCGCGGGAACACGTGCACACCGACACCCACCGGGGCCCAACATAGCTTCTAGATGCAGCAACGTCTCAAACCTCACCGCGCATGTGTAGCTTACTGAATGTTGGCATGTTATATGCCTGAGTGAATTCCGAACTTTCAAATTTTGTTTTCACTGCACCTCAAGAAATGCGTTGGGTTGATGCAGCAGGTGTTTTGGTATTTGGTCCAAGAGACTTGTTGAGAGCGAGGTGTTTGTCTTCCTGCATGGCGCGCCAGGGCCCTCCAGTGTGCCTGATGTGTGTGTGCGCGCGCGTCTTATGAGCGTGCGCGCGTGGGGGCGTGGGGGCGGGGCGGCGGGAACGGGCGTGGGTGTGGGCGGCCAGGGGGCGAGGGTCTATGACTAGCAGGCCATCATCATGTAGCTGCCGGCGAAGCCCTCTTCCTCCCTGTCGTTGACACTGTCGGACACTACTAGCAAGTTTGCTGGACCAGTGGAGTTCACTGCAGGGGGGGAAAGGCCACACATTAATACTGAGAATAATTGTAAATTATATGATGCACACACACACACACACACACACACACATACACACAGGGTGGACAAAGACAAACTCTTTGGAACAGGTGGAACACACACAAGGGGACACAGGTGGAAACTTAGTGCCCAAATGAGCCACAGGGACATTAGAAAGAATTTTTTTCAGTGTCAGAGTAGTTAACGAGTGGAATGCATTAGGCAGTGATGTGGTGGAGGCTGACTCCATACACAGTTTCAAGTGTAGATATGATAGAGCCCAATAGGCTCAGGAACCTGTACACCAGTTGATTGACAGTTGAGAGGCGGGACCAAAGAGCCCCAAAGAGCTCAACCCCCGCAAGCACAACTAGGTAAATACGCACACACACACACGCGCGCGCACACACACACACACACACACACACACACACACACACACACACACACACACACACACACACACACACACACACACACACACACATACACACACACACACACACGCACACGCACCTTGACTGGTGAAAGCAGTGAAGTCACCGCACAGCTTTTCACCGCCGCTGGCCACGAAGTCAGACGTACACTGCTGATTAACGTTGCCCAAGTCGAACCTGGAGTAGCTGATGCCTATGTCGCAGTAGCCAGGCACGTAGCCGAAGCAGATCGAGTAGGCCTGTCAGGGGGAAGACACAGTGTTATATATATATATATATATATATATATATATATATCGAGTTTGAGTTCGAACTGGAGTGAGGTGGAGAGGAAGAATGGCTATTGCCAGGGAAGTGTGGATGACAATTGATAATAGTCAATGTTTTGGAGGCCGACATTTCTGCCAAAGATGTTGTGAGTGGTAGTTACCTGGTCATTAAGCATCATGGAAGGCGTGCCACCAAAGTTGAAGGAGCTTATCTGTCCACTGGGAGTGGAGAAGTACTGGAGGCACCTGTAGGGCGCCCTGCACGGAGTGGTCACGCTGATGTATGTCACCTTGATCTTCCATCTTCGCTGGAAGTTGAAGGGTGAGAGTGACGTCACCAGCTGGTACGGGCCCGCTGAGTTGTCCACATCGATGAACACTGTGAACGAAACAACATTGTTAACAACGACCACATAACGCCAGTTTATACTTGACATTTCTATATGTAAAAACTATTATTGTTTATATATATATATATATATATATATATATATATATATATATATATATATATATATATATCTATATATATATCTATATATATATATAGATATATATATATATATCTATATATATATATAGGTAGGTCCCCCCTCCTCTTCTATACCAACTACTGATCTTGCTCAGGATGCAACCCCTGCGACAACTGTTTAATTCCCTGTTACCTAGTTTACTGCTGGGTAAACAGAAGCATCAGGTGAAAGGAAATGTGTCTAATAGTGTGAATCTGGACTTTCTAATGAGTATTGAAGTCTGTAATCACTAAGACATTCAGGTATCACACTCGGGATCTGGGTCGCGTGTCTATGGGTCCATCTTAACCTCTCCTTGCTCCTCCTCTGTCTCAGGAGGACCTCCTGTCTCAGGGTCACGTCAGGGATGGTTGGTGCCTTATCTCCTAGTGGTTAGGTTAGGGTTCCTGGGTTGGGGCAGCATTAAGTCTATTCACATCTTCAGGACGACCTGAAGGCAAGAGACGCCAGCGAGTGATATTAACGGGATCAGATATATGAGAAATCTAGTAGTGGAGGCTGTGTACCAGTCCGGACCGTATGAAGGAAAGGGGCTCCAACCTGTCCTCTTACAAATTACGTCGCTCGTATGCGCTACGGACAAAAATGGCAGTATTTTGAAAAGGACAATTAATTGAAAATAATTTTTTTATGTTTTCCCCAAACAGCAAGTTAAGGGTCCCCTGGTAGGTTAGGAGGACAGGAAGCTCTCCTAAGGTTTCAAAACGTCATGAAAGCTGAAAGTTTCGGTTTTCGAAAATTAATTGAAAGTTTCGAAAGTTAATTGAAAGTTTTCTCTCCTAACCTAACCGAGTAAGCCAGAGGACCCAAAACAGAAAACGGGACAGTACATCACTTTCGTGAGCCGATTCCATTTCGAGTTACGTCGATTTTTAACCCGAGTGCGCATACGAGCGAGAAGCGACGTAATTTGTAAGAGGACAGGTTGTGCTCCCTTGCCCTTCACACGGTCCGCACTGGTACACAGCCTCGACTACTGGACCTCGCATATATCTGATCCCGGTAATAGTACTCGCTGGCGTCTTATGCCTTCACGTCGCCCTAAAGACGTGAATATAAATTAATATTCTATGAGGTTCAGAATCATTTTAAAATATAAGAATCCATGCCACGTGTGTGGTGTTATTTACCAATGTCTAATCCAACCACTTGGGCTGGACGGTAGAGCGACGGTCTCGCTTCATGCAGGTCGGCGTTCAATCACCGACCGTCAAAGTGGTTAGGCACCATTCCTTTCCCCCGTCCCATCCCAAATCCTTATTCTGACCCTTTCCAAGTGCTATATTATCTCACTGGCTGAGCGATTTTTCCTTCTAATTACCTTAGGAATGTCTAGAGCATCTGGCGTATTCTAAATATCTTAGTTTGGAGCCATGTTGGACTAGTGGAGTCTTAGCATACACACACCAGTGTGAGGTTAGGGGGTCGCCAAAACCAATAGTTTTAGCAATGATTGTATAGACCAAACACTAAGGAAGACGGCACACAAGCAAGCGTAACTATCATCATGTAACTACACTTAGGTAATTACACACATACACAGCTTGAGAAAGAGCTGGGAGAGAGAGAGGAAGAGGTGGGAGAGTGAGAGGAAGAGGTGGGAGAGTGAGAGGAAGAGCTGGGAGAGGGAGAGGAAGAGGTGGGGCAGGGAGAGGAAGAGGTGGGAGAGGGAGAGGAAGAGCTGGGGCAGGGAGAGGAAGAGCTGGGGCAGGGAGAGGAAGAGGTGGGAGAGAGGAACTTACTGTGCTGGCCGCTGTTAAAACCACACAAGGTAGGGACCATGAAGCCCGGGTTGGCGCCCAGCACGACGAAGGTGTCGTTGGTGCAGTCGCCCGCCACGGGTCCCACCAGCTCGAAGTCGTCGAAGTTCAACAGGATCTGACACGTCTGCAGGGTATGGAAGTAACTTTGTAAACACGTCTGCAGGGTATGGAAGTAACTTTGTAAACACGTCTGCAGGGTATGGAAGTAACTTTGTAAACACGTCTGCAGGGTATGGAAGTAACTTTGTAAACACGTCTGCAGGGTATGGAAGTAACTTTCTAACACGTCTGCAGGGTATGGAAGTAACTTTGTAAACAAGTCTGCAGGGCTAGGAAGTAACTTTGTAAACACGTCTGCAGGGCTAGGAAGTAACTTTGTAAACAAGTCTGCAGGGCTAGGAAGTAACTTTGTAAACAAGTCTGCAGGGCTAGGAAGTAACTTTGTAAACAAGTCTGCAGGGCTAGGAAGTAACTTTGTAAACACGTCTGCAGGGCTAGGAAGTAACTTTGTAAACAAGTCTGCAGGGCTAGGAAGTAACTTTGTAAACACGTCTGCAGGGCTAGGAAGTAACTTTGTAAACACGTCTGCAGGGCTAGGAAGTAACTTTGTAAACAAGTCTGCAGGGCTAGGAAGTAACTTTGTAAACACGTCTGCAGGGCTAGGAAGTAACTTTGTAAACACGTCTGCAGGGCTAGGAAGTAACTTTGTAAACACGTCTGCAGGGCTAGGAAGTAGATTTATGAATATATCTGCAAAAGATTCACTACTTCCTTGCACTTCTTTCTTATTAAGTCCATCATTTCCTGCGTAGCTTTACCCTCCAGGAACTCTCTAACTTTCTGGTAGTTCCTTACTTTCCATCTCATAGAGAGAGATCAATACAGGATTAGCCCCACAGACAGACAGAACAAGATAGGATTAATGTCACGGTCATTCTGAACAAGACTTATCATTAAAGGAGATAACATTATGTTTTATCAGTGTTTCAAGTCACGAGCAAAATATTGCAAGCTGTGATGGTGGTAGTTGTGATGGTGGTACTGGTGGTGGGGTGATGATGGTAGCTGTGATGGTGGTAGTTGTGATGGTGGTACTGGTGGTGGGGTGGTGGTGATGGTAGCTGTCAATGGTGGTAGTTGTGATGGTGGTACTGGTGGTGGGGTGGTGGTGATGGTAGCTGTCAATGGTGGTAGTTGTGATGGTGGTACTGGTGGTGGGGTGATGATGGTAGCTGTGATGGTGGTAGTTGTGATGGTGGTACTGGTGGTGGGGTGGTGGTGATGGTAGCTGTCAATGGTGGTAGTTGTGATGGTGGTACTGGTGGTGGGGTGGTGGTGATGGTAGCTGTCAATGGTGGTAGTTGTGATGGTGGTACTGGTGGTGGGGTGGTGGTGATGGTAGCTGTCAATGGTGGTAGCTGTGATGGTTGTACTGGTGGTGGGGTGGTGGTGATGGCTGTGATGGTGGTAGTTGTGATGGTGGTACTGGTGGTGGTGGGGTGGTGATGGTAGCTGTCAATGGTGGTAGCTGTGATGGTTGTACTGGTGGTGGGGTGGTGGTGATGGCTGTGATGGTGGTAGTTGTGATGGTGGTACTGGTGGTGGTGGGGTGGTGATGGTAGCTGTCAATGGTGGTAGCTGTGATGGTTGTACTGGTGGTGGGGTGGTGGTGATGGTAGCTGTCAATGGTGGTAGTTGTGATGGTGGTACTGGTGGTGGTGGGGTGGTGATGGTAGCTGTCAATGGTGGTAGTTGTGATGGTGGTACTGGTGGTGGTGGGGTGGTGATGGTAGCTGTCAATGGTGGTAGCTGTGATGGTTGTACTGGTGGTGGGGTGGTGGTGATGGTAGCTGTCAATGGTGGTAGTTGTGATGGTGGTACTGGTGGTGGTGGGGTGGTGATGGTAGCTGTCAATGGTGGTAGCTGTGATGGTTGTACTGGTGGTGGGGTGGTGGTGATGGCTGTGATGGTGGTAGTTGTGATGGTGATACTGGTGGTGGTGATGGTGGTAGCAGTTATGGTGGTGTTTGTGATGGTAGTGTAGGTGGTAGAGATGATTTTTTGCTGGTGGTGGTGTTGGCTGTGATAGTGGTGGTGCAGGTGGTGGTAGTGGTTGTGATAGTGGTGGTGCAGGTGGTGGTAGTGGTTGTGATAGTGGTGGTGCAGGTGGTGGTAGTGGTTGTGATAGTGGTGGTGTATGGCTATGAGAGTGGTGGTGCAAGTGGTGGTGGCGGCTAGGACAGTGGTGGTGCAGGTGGCAGCAGCTGTGATAGTGGTGGTGCAGGTGGCAGCAGCTGTGATAGTGGTGGTGCAGAATGGCAGCAGCTGTGACAGTGGTGGTGCAGGTGGCAGCAGCTGTGATAGTGGTGGTGCAGGTGGCAGCAGCTGTGATAGTGGTGGTGCAGGTGGCAGCAGCTGTGATAGTGGTGGTGCAGGTGGCAGCAGCTGTGATAGTGGTGGTGCAGAATGGCAGCAGCTGTGACAGTGGTGGTGCAGGTGGCAGCAGCTGTGACAGTGGTGGTGCAGGTGGCAGCAGCTGTGACAGTGGTGGTGCAGGTGGCAGCAGCTGTGATAGTGGTGGTGCAGGTGGCAGCAGCGGCGGCGGCGGCTGTGGTGGTGGCAGCGACGACAACTCACCCCCGGCGGCGGCTTCAAGGAAACAAAACACATGGAGGGTCTGTAGAGGGAAGCCGGGAAGCCAGGATTGACGAAGTAGGTACCGTTGCCCTCTATCACGCCTCCACAGGTCTGGTACACTGTTGAGGTTCACAGTTAATACATCACCCCCTACGTCCCCCTCCTACACGTCTCTCTCTCACCGCCCCGCGGCCCCTACTGACGAAGGTCACGCAGATAACATCATGCCAATGTCTCTTCTTCTTCTTCAGACGTCCTCTGGTGGAGCCTTTATCGCGTGATAATGTCCCACTCTAACGTCACTAAGTGATAGAGCCAGCACCTTCCTGTGCAGAGCTCTTGGTTAAAGTTCCCATGTAAAGCTCCTGTGTAACGCTCCAGGTTAAAGCTCCTGGTCCCACCGTCCCAGTCCCCTCCAGCAAGTGTCCCACCGTCCCAGTCCCCCCAGCAAGTGTCCCACCGTCCCAGTCCCCCCTAGTGAGTGTCCCACCGTCCCAGTCCCCCTAGTGAGTGTCCCACCGTCCCAGTCCCCTCCAGCAAGTGTCCCACCGTCCCAGTCCCCCCAGTGAGTGTCCCACCGTCCCAGTCCCCTCCAGCAAGTGTCCCACCGTCCCAGTCCCCTCCAGTGAGTGTCCCACCGTCCCAGTCCCCTCCAGTGAGTGTCCCACCGTCCCAGTCCCTCCAGTGAGTGTCCCACCGTCCCAGTCCCCTCCAGTGAGTGTCCCACCGTCCCAGTCCCCCCAGTGAGTGTCCCACCGTCCCAGTCCCCTCCAGCGAGTGTCCCACCGTCCCAGTCCCCTCCAGTGAGTGTCCCACCGTCCCAGTCCCTCCAGTGAGTGTCCCACCGTCCCAGTCCCCTCCAGTGAGTGTCCCACCGTCCCAGTCCCCTCCAGTGAGTGTCCCACCGTCCCAGTCCCCCCTAGTCCCTCCAGTGAGTGTCCCACCGTCCCAGTCCCCCCAGTGAGTGTCCCACCGTCCCAGTCCCCCCTAGTGAGTGTCCCACCGTCCCAGTCCCCCCCAGTGAGTGTCCCACCGTCCCAGTCCCCCCAGCAGTGTCCCACCGTCCCAGTCCCCCTAGTGAGTGTCCCACCGTCCCAGTCCCCTCCAGTGAGTGTCCCACCGTCCCAGTCCCCTCCAGTGAGTGTCCCACCGTCCCAGTCCCCCCAGTGAGTGTCCCACCGTCCCAGTCCCCCCCCAGTGAGTGTCCCACCGTCCCAGTCCCCCCAGTGAGTGTCCCACCGTCCCAGTCCCCCCTAGTGAGTGTCCCACCGTCCCAGTCCCCCCAGTGAGTGTCCCACCGTCCCAGTCCCCCCAGTGAGTGTCCCACCGTCCCAGTCCCCCCAGTGAGTGTCCCACCGTCCCAGTCCCCCCTAGTGAGTGTCCCACCGTCCCAGTCCCCCCAGTGAGTGTCCCACCGTCCCAGTCCCCTCCAGTGAGTGTCCCACCGTCCCAGTCCCCCCTAGTGAGTGTCCCACCGTCCCAGTCCCCCCTAGTGAGTGTCCCACCGTCCCAGTCCCCCCCAGTGAGTGTCCCCACCGTCCCAGTCCCCCCTAGTGAGTGTCCCACCGTCCCAGTCCCCTCCAGTGAGTGTCCCCCCACCCTAGTGAGTGTCCCACCGTCCCAGTCCCCCCAGTGAGTGTCCCACCGTCCCAGTCCCCCCTAGTGAGTGTCCCACCGTCCCAGTCCACCCTAGTGAGTGTCCCACCGTCCCAGTCCCCCCTAGTGAGTGTCCCACCGTCCCAGTCCCCTCCAGTGAGTGTCCCACCGTTCCAGTCCACCCTAGTGAGTGTCCCACCGGTCCCACCGTCCCAGTCCCCTCCAGTGAGTGTCCCACCGTTCCAGTCCACCCTAGTGAGTGTCCCACCGTCCCAGTCCACCCTAGTGAGTGTCCCACCGTCCCAGTCCCCCCAGTGAGTGTCCCACCGTCCCAGTCCCCCCTAGTGAGTGTCCCACCGTCCCAGTCCACCCTAGTGAGTGTCCCACCGTCCCAGTCCCCTCCAGTGAGTGTCCCACCGTCCCAGTCCCCCCTTGTGAGTGTCCCACCGTCCCAGTCCCCCCAGTGAGTGTCCCACCGTCCCAGTCCCCCCAGTGAGTGTCCCACCGTCCCAGTCCCCCCAGCAAGTGTCCCACCGTCCCAGTCCCCCCAGTGAGTGTCCCACCGTCCCAGTCCCCTCCAGTGAGTGTCCCACCGTCCCAGTCCACCCTAGTGAGTGTCCCACCGTCCCAGTCCCCCCAGTGAGTGTCCCACCGTCCCAGTCCCCTCCAGTGAGTGTCCCACCGTCCCAGTCCCCTCCAGTGAATGTCCCACCGTCCCAGTCCCCTCCAGTGAGTGTCCCACCGTCCCAGTCCCCTCCAGTGAGTGTCCCACCGTCCCAGTCCCCTCCAGTGAGTGTCCCACCGTCCCAGTCCCCTCCAGTGAGTGTCCCACCGTCCCAGTCCACCCTAGTGAGTGTCCCACCGTCCCAGTCCCCCCAGTGAGTGTCCCACCGTCCCAGTCCCCTCCAGTGAGTGTCCCACCGTCCCAGTCCCCTCCAGTGAGTGTCCCACCGTCCCAGTCCACCCTAGTGAGTGTCCCACCGTCCCAGTCAGCCCCTAGTGAGTGTCCCACCGTCCCAGTCCCCCCAGTGAGTGTCCCACCGTCCCAGTCCCCTCCAGTGAGTGTCCCACCGTCCCAGTCCACCCTAGTGAGTGTCCCACCGTCCCAGTCCCCCCTAGTGAGTGTCCCACCGTCCCAGTCCCCCCTAGTGAGTGTCCTACCGTCCCAGTCCCCCCAGTGAGTGTCCCACCGTCCCAGTCCCCCCAGCCAGTGTCCCACCGTCCCAGTCCCCCTAGTGAGTGTCCCACCGTCCCAGTCCCCCCAGTGAGTGTCCCACCGTCCCAGTCCCCCCAGTGAGTGTCCCACCGTCCCAGTCCCCCCAGTGAGTGTCCCACCGTCCCAGTCCCCCCAGCCAGTGTCCCACTGTCCCAGTCCCCCTAGTGAGTGTCCCACCGTCCCAGTCCCCCCAGTGAGTGTCCCACCGTCCCAGTCCCCCCAGTGAGTGTCCCACCGTCCCAGTCCACCCTAGTGAGTGTCCCACCGTCCCAGTCCACCCAGCCAGTGTCCCACCGTCCCAGTCCCCCCAGCCAGTGTCCCACCGTCCCAGTCCCCCTCCCAGTGAGTGTCCCACCGTCCCAGTCCCCCCCCCCCCAGTGAGTGTCCCACCGTCCCAGTCCCCCCAGCCAGTGTCCCACCGTCATATCCCGCCAAAGAGTAGTGCTCTAACTTGCCCTAAACCACCAGAGAAACTTCTGAAAAAAAGGATCGAGATGATTATATGCGTATTGGACTCGCTTGTAGAGGGAGGCGGTGGTGGTAGTGGTGCTGGTGGTGGTGGTAGTGGTTGTGGTGGAGCTGGTGGTGGTAGTGGTAGGTTGGTGCTACTGCTGGTAGTGGTGGTGCTCATGTTTAATAGTGACGATAGGAGTGATAGTTGTAATGGTGGTGCTTGTGGTGGTGGTGATGGTGACAGGTGGTGGTGGTGATGGTGGTGGTGGTGATGGTGACAGGTGATGGTGATGGTGGTGGTGGGGTGCAGGGGGGGCTACTTACCCCAGCAGGGGGCGTGAGGGTGACGGAGCAGATACCAGCGGAGCCCACAGAGGTCGGGTAGCCGGCGTTGACGAAGTAGCTGCCGTTGACAGCCAAGGTGTTGCCGCAGGTGGTGTACACTGCCGGACCAGCACCACCAGGGGCGGCAGTTAGTGAGAGTGTGTGCTCATGCCACACGTGCACAGGTGCACGGGTGTACGGGTGCACAGGTGCATGGGGTATATATTACAGTATAAGCAGTGCGGGAGTGGACGACACGGGATAGGTGAAAGGAATGATGGCGTGTGCAGCTTGGTGGATGGGTTGTGCACAAGGGGGATAGGTGCACAGGAGGGATAGGTGCACAGGGGATAGGTGCATAGGAGGATAGGTGTCATACGATAAATATAATAATCTGAACATTAAATGTTTTTTTCTAATAATATTTTACTAACAGGACTATTAGGAATTATTCAAGAAAAGATCACACACACACACACACACACACACACACAGCCACACACACACACACACACACACACACACACACACACACACACACACACACACACACACACACACACACACACCCACACACACACACACCCACACCCACACACACCCACACCCACACACACACCCACACCCACACACACACACACACACACCAATACTCACAGACGCAGCAGACACCGAAGCCATTGGCACAGGTGCCAGAGGCGGTGCCAGCGAGGGTGTCACACTCCTTCTGGCTGTAGCAAGTGCCCTGTTCCCCGGTGGCCGCCGCGCACGGCCCGTTCTCGAAGGTCACGATCTGCACCACCGGGAACACTGAAACAAGCACAGATAGTACGGTCGTTAGCTGGTGACGGTCTGGCGTATGGGTGGAGCAGGTGTGGATCTGAAAAAAAGTAAACTGGAGCAGGTGTGGGGATAGTCTTGGGATGAACATATCCCCCAAGTTAAAGCAGGGACGAGGCTGGGATAGGTAGGGCTGGCGTCAGAACCCCCAAGTGTGCAAGAGTAGCGCTGACGTGTCCAGGCAAAGTGTCCATAGACCGTAAGAACATACGAGGCACCTGCTATTGGTCCATAACAGACAGCTCCTATTGGTCCATAGCAGACAGCTCCTATTGGTCCATAGCAGACAGCTCCTATTGGTCCATAGCAGACAGCTCCTATTGGTCCATAGCAGACAGCTCCTATTGGTCCATACGGAAGTGGTCGGCTGGAGAGAGAAACATATACAAACAGACGAAAAGGAAATAGAAAGAAAGAGAGAGAGAGAGAGAGAGAGAGAGAGAGAGAGAGAGAGAGAGAGAGAGAGAGAGAGAGAGAGAGAGAGAGAGAGAGAGATATGAAGCTGGGAGACATTATCTTCAGACTGAAGATGATTAGGAGATGAATCAGCATCCGGGAGGAAGTGAAACGATGCAAGTGGGTTTGTGGGGTATTGAGGGGTGGGGGGAGTGTTGGGGAAGATGGTGGTGGTGGGGAGGTGAGGACGGTACCATAGCAGGAGAGAGATGATGGTGGTGGGGGGGAGAGGGAGGGATGACCTGGATCATGGTGTAGCAGCCAGCCAGCCAGCCAGTCAGCCAGCCAGTAGTCTTGACCGACATCCGGCAACAGCCCGGGTGACCGATATCCCACAGCGTCGTCGGGTTTCTCCTCCATGACACACACCGTCTACACCCCGGCACCGCCGCTCCCAAACACAGGGAAAGGGAGAGGAGAACCAGCGAGAGAGAGAGAGAGAGAGAGAGAGAGAGAGAGAGAGAGAGAGAGAGAGAGAGAGAGAGAGAGAGAGAGAGAGAGAGAGAGAGAGAGAGAGAGAGAGATACAGATACAGAGACAGAGAGAGGAAAGTGAGTGAGAGCTGTAAACTGAATGACTGATAAGAAAAAAGAGACGAAGAGAAAGCGGACGAGAAGAGGAGAGAGCAGAATCAGGTAGAGAAGAGGGAAGGGAGTGAGAGGTGGAGATGAGAGGGAATGATAGGGATAGAGGATAGGGAGAGAGAAGGCCCCACGGGTCCTGAGGCAGGGTCAGTGAACCCAACCCGCCACTATAAATGCCAACACATACTTGACCTTAATAACAAACACTTTTTTTGTCACCGTAACCTTGCCTTTGCCCTTCCCTCTGCGGCGGCTCCTACACTATGCGGAAGTTGGCCACTGGCACACACACACACACACACACACACACACACACACACACACACACACACACACACACACACACACACACACATACATACATACTCACCAGCATATGCCAGGTTGGCCATCATAAGAACAGCCTTTAGAAACTTGTGTAAGGAATCATTCAGAATTTTGTATACCACACATATGTCAGACCAATCCTGGAGTATGCGGCTCCAGCATGGAGTCCAAATCTAGTCAAGCCCAAGACTAAATTGAAGAAGGCTCAGAGGTATGCCACCAGACTAGTACCCGAGCTGAGAGGTATGAGCTACGAGAAGAGACTAAGGGAGCTAGACCCCTCGTCGCTGGAATACAGAAGAGTTTTGGGAGACATGATCACCACATACAAGATTCTCAGAAGAATTGATAAAGGTAGATAGAGATAGTTTATTTAACACAAGGGGCACACGCACAAGGGGACACAGGTGGAAATTGAGTACCCAAATGAGCCACAGGGACGTTAGAAAGAACTTTTTCAGTGTCAGAGTAGTGAACAGGTGGAATGATGGAATGCATTAGGAAGTGATGTGGTGGAGGCTGACTCCATACACAGTTTCAAGTGTAGATATGATAGAGCCCAGTAGGCTCAGGAATCTGTACACCAGTTGATTGACAGTTGAGAGGCGGGACCAAAGAGCCAGAGCTCAACCCCCGCAAGCACAACTAGGTGAGTACACACACACTGCATTAGATACTATGCAATGTGTATGAAAACATTTACATACATACGAGGGTCCCGTAAGCTGGATGGAAGTGCCTCAGAATACTTAACAGTACCACAAAACAGCAGGAAATATACTCCTGTAAGGCTGAGAATCTCAAACAAACAGCGAGGGGATATGATCTCTAAACCCCAACCTTCCCACAGCCTCGCCAGCGCCCACAACAACCTGGCGGATCACATGTGGAACGAGAATCTAGGTTACCGGACCGCTAATTTAGATTCTTGGTAGATGGCTCGTTAAGAAGATGACCCTCACCGAGGTAGTTGTTCCAGCCCCCAGAGGCGCGCCGGGCGTTGTTCCCCTACTGAATATCAAGTAGGAAGCGGTCTACAGTTATTTGACATAGAGAGTACGCTTCCGACTTAACTATTTATACTTGTAGATTAGATTAGTTGTGTGTGAACTCTTTACCGTAATATTATTATGCAAGCTCCTCTGAGTATTTAGTCTAAACTGAACTATTATCTCTAATTTCATTGATGACTGGAAAGGTTTTCTTTAAGTTGAACGATAACTGAAAAAGTTTTCTCTAAGCTCAGTGGCAACTGTAAAAGCTTTCTCTTAGCTGAGTGGCAGCTGCAAAAGTTTTCTCTAAGCTGATTGGTGAGGAGAAAGGAAAGTTTTCAGTAAGCGTCAGTGTACCAGAACAGTGTACAGTGTACCAGAACAGTGTACAGTGTACCAGAACAGTGTACAGTGTACCAGAACAGTGTACAGTGTACCAGAACAGTGTACAGTGTACCAGAACAGTGTACGGTGTACCAGAACAGTGTACAGTGTACCAGAACAGTGTACAGTGTACCAGAACAGTGTACGGTGTACCAGAACAGTGTACAGTGTACCAGAACAGTTTACATTGTACCAGAACAGTGTACACTATACTGGTCCTCAGCATAGCGTCCCGCCAGGTCTACCAGGAACAATTTTATCTTATGTATTTACTTCCATGTAAACAATGCCATTTGTCTCAGTCCTGTGTGAGTGCTGAGGCAGGGAATTAAGGCCTGAGCCACTATAAAGATGGAGTCACGTCAAGCATTTGCGCAACCATTTAGAAACCTGTACATCTGTACATATAACATGCACCTATACCCTACACTCTGGTTACCTGTCCCCCCGACACAATGAATGAATTATTATTATATTTTCTAACTCATGGCAGCTTTGTTTACATTTATTAAACAATTTACGAGCTTGGGAGCTTCACAACTCAAGGTTATTGTTGTTATAAACAACTTCGTAGTGCTTCGGAACTCATAAACTGTTTAATGAGTGTAAACACAGCCGCCGTGATTAAGGAAAGAAATAAAGGTTTCGTAAGTGGCTGAATCTTGGCCTTGATATTTCCCATCTTGGCCGTGGCTACTGAAGACACAGGTCACTGCGAAACGCAAGTTTTCTTTACATAGAAAAGTGCTTCGTTGATTGCTTTGGTTGCCAGTTTGAAGAACTCTGGCAGTCAAGAATGGCGTAGAAAGCTGTATTCTCTTCGTAAACCGCTGACTTTTCATTGAAAAGAAAATAGATTTGTTCTGATTCAGTTCAACTAAGCTTTTAGGAAACTGCAGAAAGCCTATTGGCATATACCTGACAGCTCCTAATTATATCTACCTAAATTTATTCATTTATACGTCGAACCTACGCTTAAAACAATCACGTGTGCCCACGTCTATTATGTTACCCAGTAATTTGGACCATAAATCAACAACCCTATTTCCAAACCAGTATTTATCCAAGTCTTTCCTGAATCTAAACTTGTCAAATTTATATCCATTAAGAAGCCTTTTTAGGAGAACACACACACCTGACCACCTCTGCCTCGCATGTTGTATATGTGACTAGTTTTAGTTATATTATAATTATTGTTGTTGTTAGACCTATAATATCTACTCACCGACATCCCAAAGCTTTAACGTCCACTAAAATGTTTGAAATTTAAATATATTAAAAATCACATTTAACTTGTGTCTGCTTCTTTATGGTTCTCATTAGTAAGCGATTTACTAGTATGAAGAGTAAATGAAATAATGCATGTCCTTTCTTACACTTCTTGTTCCATGTCTGTTTATAAGACCGATACATAGCCATACGGCTGTGCTTCTTCACTGACCATTTTCTATGACAAGTCAGCATTATCTAATTATATTTATTTCTACAATAATTAACATTCTTCTTTGTAAGTTTAAGAATACAAAATTTAATCTAGAAAAACGTGTACTCAATCTTGAAGATGTATTTGAATTCAATATTATATAAATATATAATATAGGGAAAGGTTTATTTGGAGGAAGTGAGAGAGTGAAGTGAAGACGAGGGAGTCGGGCGGCGCGGGAGTCGGAGGCTCTCCTGGGAGTAAAAAGCTAAAAGTAGGCCACCACGGGAGGTTAGGTGGGTCGCGACCCACATGTAGACACAAACGGCACTTGCTTAGTTTCTCCTTTGTTTTTTAGGTTTAGTATATATTGTGGTTTGAGAACTGCGTTTTCTGGTGCATTGGTACATTTATTCTTTAATTAGCGTTTAAATAACAATTTATTAACCACTTCCTAATTATTCTGTCACTTTAGCCGCAGTTATTCTAACACTGTCGCCTTGCTAATATGGTTATGGAATGTCAACACTGTTATATAGCACTTGTACAACTAGTACGCGTAGCGTTTCGGGCAAGTATCCTTCCAACTGTCCTGCATACTGTTGCGTTAAACAGGAACAAACAGGATACGAACCCATGACATAGCGCTCGCTGTTGTCCAGTTGCGCCATTAATTAACAACACTACCAGGACTTGTAATGGCTTGTTGTGGCCTCTACCAACACATTCAGATATATACAAGAGTTGTTACATTCTTGTACAGCCACTAGTACGCGTAGCGTTTCGGGCAAGTCCCTGGAATACGATCCCCGCCGCGAAGAATCGTTTTTTCATCCAAGTACACATTTTACTGTTGCGTTAAACAGAGGCTACAGTTAAGGAATTGCGCCCGGTAAATCCTCCCCGGCCAGGATACGAACCCATGATATAGCGCTCGCGGAACGCCAGGCGAGTGTCTTACCACTACACCACGGAGACTGTTACATATGATTGGTTTTACTTACGATTAGCATCAACACTACCATCATTGCTCGTATGATTAACACGGAGTTTACGAGTGTCTTCTACATACACCACTCATCTACTAGGAGCACGATTTAGCCACTTACGAAACCTGTACATCTTTCCTTAAAGCGGCCTTGATTACATTTATCAGTTTGTGAGCTCCGAAACACAACGAGGTTGATTATGACAATAATAACCTTGAGTTGTGAAGTTTCAAAGTTTGTCAACTGTGTAGTATGTGTAAACAAAGCCATTATGATTTTAAAAAGATGTACAGGTTTCGTAAGTGAAACGCAAGTGAAATAAATGCTTGGTGAATCATGAGCAAGATTATAATATTGTACACGAGTCATTTGTACGCCTATTCTAACACTGTCAATACTCGCATTTGGCCGTACACTGGCACTGTTGCCATTACTGCCACCAGTGCCAACACTCACGCTACTGGCACTGTTGCCATCACTGCCACCAGTGCCAACACTCACACTGTTGCCATCACTGCCACCAGTGCCAACACTCACACTGTTGCCATCACTGCCACCAGTGCCAACACTCACGTTTAGGGTCTCGGTGTGAAGCTGGGTCCTCCCCTACAGACGCCGCCATGGCCGTCCCCGCCAACACCACCACCACCACTGCCGCCCACCTCAGCATCCTGGAAAACAAGGAACACTCGTATAAACTTGGTGTACACTGAGGAACGTGTGTGTGTACATGTTTATCCTGCACCACAATAAACACGCACATAATATTAGTATACACAATGAAACGCGTACATATGGATGGAACATTCTGCCCTGAGAATCTTAGATTTTTATGACTTGGCAACATTGCCCCACATAAGTCTACTCACAAATTGTAGAAATATGCTTTAGCGATTTTGTAGATGCTGCAACAGACGAAGGAATATCTAAGCAATATACTAGAAATACTCAGAATGATTGAAGAATTATCAACCTGTTGAGGTGTGTGGTTCCTTACGGTACGGTATTTGGACCCGTTCTATTCCTGATGTATGTGAACAATTTCCTAAATGAAATGGACTCTTTCTTATCCATGCTTACAGATAAGACATTAACGAGAACCATAAACACGACACAAGACCTGGAAAGACTACATAATTGGTCTGACAAGTGACACCTCAACTCAAGTAATTGCAAAGTAATGAAAATAGCTGCTGAAGGTAAGAGGCTAGATGCAACGTATCTTCTGGGACGGGATATAATACCAGAGTTAGACACTGGCACACATTTGTATGTACACATCACATCGAACAGCTTAACAACTACTTCATATGTAAGTCCTTATCCTGACCCCTTCCAAGGGCTATATACTGGTAATGGCTTAGCGCTTTCCCCTGATAATTCCCTTCTTGCATATGTAAGTTTGACAAAAATAAGAAATGTCTTCAAAATCTGAACAAGGAGCCATTCAGAACCATTTTTCATAAAGTAAAAAAGCGAAACTGTATGATATCAGACGCATAACATTACACTGAGGCTAGAGCGGAAAAGCCTGAGTCAGGACAAAATAATCGAGGAACAAAATATCATGTAACTAAGGTGGATGAAATATGAGAGATATGATCTCTGTGTACAAAATACTCACAGGAAGTGAGATGAATTACGGTACTCAGGTGACAACACAAGTCCCAAATGAGTCACATGGGGATTATACCAACACATCTTCTGTGTCAGAAGTGTAAACAAATTAAATACAGAGGAGAGTGGTGTAGGCAGACTCCATACAAGATTTCGAAACCAATTAGAATACAACAAAGAGAATTCTAAACAAATGTACTAACTGGTTAGAGGTTGAGACACTGGTAACACAAATATCACGTGTGGTATCGAACACCAATCTTCCATGGATAACAACGCCTAGCACTGTAACAGAAGTACTGAAACAGGAAATGAACGAAGTACTGCAGGAAATGTAATGATGTCTGGGAATGCTAATGCACCACTATTGAACCTAACAGTACCCATAGTTAATACGAAGAACACATACTGGGTGAATATAGATGTGTGTACGTGTGAGGCGGTCTGGTCAGCTGCACCGGTCTGGTCAGCTGCACCACCAGAGAGTTAATGAACTGCTCAACACCTGAGAGCATCGTTTATATATGGCCCTCAACCTTGCCACTGCCTACATCCTCATTTCTTTTATCTAACAATTTTAACTTATATATTTTTCAATATTTCATATCATTTGTTATTTTAAAGAACACTAAGTCTTCTTAATAGTTATATTCATTGGTATCATATATTATTGTTAGTTGATAAATATATAACTTCTACACAAATGTCATCTCACACTGACTGGAGTCAGTTTCCATTCCCAGCGAGGAGAAGACTTTTGGCAGGTTTCCTTACACCTGATTCATCTGTTTACCTAGCAGTAAATAGGTCACTTGGAGTTAGCAAGCTGCTGTAAACAGCAATCCTGTCTCTGAGAATGGGAATCATATGATTTTGGAAAAATACTACTACTTATCAACGAAAAATATTTCCAAAAATTTTTGCCTTAAATGGATCACTATTTATAGACGTTGAAATCTCTTAAGTAATTTTGTCGTAAATGGATCATTACTTACTGACGTTGAAATCTCTTAAGCAATTTTGTCGTAAATGGATCATTACTTACTGACGTTGAGATCTATTAAGCAATTTTGTCGTAAGTGGATCACTATTTATAGACGTTGAGATCTCTTAAGCAATTTTGTCGTAATGGATCATTACTTACTGACGTTGAGATCTATTAAGCAATTTTGTCGTAAGTGGATCACTATTTATAGACGTTGAGATCTCTTAAGCAATTTTGTCGTAATGGATCATTACTTACTGACGTTGAGATCTCTTAAGCAATTTTGTCGTAAATGGATCATTACTTACTGACGTTGAGATCTTTGTCGTAAGTGGATCACTATTTATAGACGTTGAGATCTCTTAAGCAATTTTGTCGTAATGGATCATTACTTACTGACGTTGAGATCTATTAAGCAATTTTGTCGTAAATGGCTCACTACTTACTGACGTTGAAATGTATACGTGAACATGATAATAATAAGGTGTAAATAGCCACACTTGCGAAAGTTACATTAACTACTAATGTTAAGGTAATATTGAAAGAATGTGAAGGTGACCACAAGCGAAGGTGAGAGAGCACACTTGAAAGTGATAACGAGCAAGTAAATGGGGGTGATCTTGACCACACATTCAAAGGTGATAATGAACACAAACACATGAGAACATGGTGAACATGATCACTGTGTGATGGTGTGCATTACTACCATATAATGGTATACATGATCACCATTTGATGGTGAAAATGACCACCATGTGATGGTGAAAATGACCACCATGTGATGGTGAAAATGACCACCATGTGATGGTGAAAATGACCACCATGTGATGGTGAAAATGACCACCATGTGATGGTGAAAATGACCACCATGTGATGGTGAAAATGACCACCATGTGATGGTGAAAATGACCACCATGTGATGGTGAAAATGACCACCATGTGATGGTGAAAATGACCACCATGTGATGGTGAAAATGACCACCATGTGATGGTGAAAATGACCACCATGTGATGGTGAAAATGACCACCATGTGATGGTGAAAATGACCACCATGTGATGGTGAAACTGACCACCATGTGATGGATGACCATGACCATTCTGTGACGGGTAACGTGACCATCTGATGGTGAACATGGCCACCATTAGACGGAGAACATGACCATACGTAATGATGAATATAATCACATGCGATAAAAATTACCACCATGTGATAGTGAAAATGATCACCATCTGACAGTGAACATGATCATCATCTGAGAGTGAACATGACCATCATATGATGGTGAACATGACCATCATGTGATGGTGAACATGATCATAATGTGATGGTGAACATGACCATCATGTGATGGTGAACATGATCATCATGTGATGGTGAACATGATCATCATGTGATGGTGAACATGACCACCGTCTGATGGTGAATATGATCACCGTCTGATGGTGAACATGATCACTGTCTGATGGTGAATATGATCACTGTCTGATGGTGAACATGATCACTGTCTGATGGTGAATATGATCACCGTCCGATGGTGAACATGATCACTGTCTGATGGTGAACATAACCACCATCTCAGGGTGAACATGACAACCATGTGATAGTGAACATGACCACCATCTCAGGGTGAACATGACAACCATGTGATAGTGAACATGACCACCATCTCAGGGCGAACATGACCACCATGTGACAGTGAACATGATCACCATCTCAGGGTGAACATGACCACCATGTGACAGTGAACATGATCACCATCTCAGGGTGAACATGACCACCATGTGACAGTGAACATGATCACCATCTCAGGGTGAACATGACCACCATCTCAGGGCGAACATGACCACCATGTGACAGTGAACATGACCACCATCTCAGGGCGAACATGACCACCATGTGACAGTGAACATGACCACCATCTCAGGGTGAACATGACCACCATGTGACAGTGAACATGATCACCATCTCAGGGTGAACATGACCACCATGTGACAGTGAACATGATCACCATCTCAGGGTGAACATGACCACCATCTCAGGGCGAACATGACCACCATGTGACAGTGAACATGACCACCATCTCAGGGTGAACATGACCACCATGTGACAGTGAACATGATCACCATCTCAGGGTGAACATGACCACCATGTGACAGTGAACATGATCACCATCTCAGGGTGAACATGACCACCATCTCAGGGCGAACATGACCACCATGTGACAGTGAACATGACCACCATCTCAGGGTGAACATGACCACCATGTGACAGTGAACATGATCACCATCTCAGGGTGAACATGACCACCATGTGACAGTGAACATGATCACCATCTCAGGGTGAACATGACCACCATCTCAGGGCGAACATGACCACCATCTCAGGGTGAACATGACAACCATGTGATAGTGAACATGATCACCATCTCAGGGTGAACATGACCACCATGTGATAGTGAACATGACCACCATCTCAGGGTGAACATGACCACCATCTCAGGGTGAACATGACAACCATGTGATGGTGACGATGACCTCCATGTGACGGTGATCCGTGTGCGACAGTGATCTAGGCCACTGTGGGACGGTGAAAATGATCCCATGACAACGATACTGTCCATTAAATGCCGGTGAACATGACACTTGCATGAGGGATCACCTTCATGTATAGCCACAATCTTGGAGCCTTGTCACGCCCCAAAAACATTCACTTAACGCATGAAAAACTTCAACAGAAACTCAATATCACTCGAAATAAACCCCAGACAACGGGATATAACAGAAGCCGTTGAGCAACAGGAGAAAGGACAATCTCCTGTTGAGATCACTGTTGCAACTAAATAAATCAATCCTACTGTATACATATGTATCACTCGGTAATAGGCAGGAAGGACACGTACTGGCCGAATATGTATGTAATGTGCGTGAGCAGGTGAGCGCCCGACCGGCCAGACCCGCGACTAGTGAGTGAATGAGCCGCGAAGCACCTCGCAGGGGTCGCTTATATAGGCTCCAGGCGCCGCGCCCCTTCCCGCGCATGCGCTCCTCTACCATGTCCTACAACGGCGATATGGG